TATTTTTTTTTTAGATAAAAAATCCTTAAAAAAAATAGAAGTAAAGTTAAATTTTTTTTTTACTAAATTACAAATGGAAAGCAACACTAAGAGAATAAAGTAAATGTTCCTGAGACAATATACCTAAGTTAAATGAAACCCATTTTCAGACATTTCATTCAAGTAAATTAATATTTATACATTATATTATTTAAAGATTTGGGAAGTTTTTCCCTAAAAAAATGAAAAGGGCGAATTTTGGAAGAATCTGATGCCATCTCATACTTTAGAATAGCATTTATAAAATGGCTTAAAAGACCTGCCGAGTTATTTATTTTCAATACATTTTAAGATAGTTTATTTATTTTCAAACTCCTCCCCCCCCCCTACAATATCCTATGGTCGTCACCTAATATATCATGAATCAAGTTTATAAGTGCATTCAATGCATAAGGATATAAATAGAGCACTATGGTAAAATAACAATCTGTTGGGTTTTTTTAAAGAAGAAAATGCTAGCTTGGATGCAGATTACTGTTCAAATTATTTCATTTGTAAAGCTTGGCTACTGAACAGTTGCATTTTTGTCGAGCCTTCGACTTTTGTCGAAAAAGCGAGACATAGCGATCCTACATTCCGTCGTTGGCGTCGTCGGCGGCGTCCACAAATATTCACTCTGTGGTTATAGTTTTTAAAATTTTAATAACTTTCTTAAACTATCCTGGATTTCTACCAAACTTGGACAGAAGCTTGTTTATGATCATAAGATAATATTCAAAAGTAAATTTTGTAAAAAAAAAATTCCATTTTTTCCGTATTTTACTTATAAATGGATTTAGTTTTTCTGCCAGGAAACATTACATTCACTCTGTGGTTAAAGTTTTTGAAATTTTAATAACTTTCTTAAACTATCCTTGATTTCTACTAAACTTGGAAAGAAGCTTGTTTGTTTATGATCATAAGAGAGTATCCAGAATTAAATTTAAAAAAAAAATCCATTTTTTCCGTATTTTACTTATAAATGGACTTAGTTTTTCTGCCAGTTAACATTACATTCACTCTGTAGTTAAAGTTTTTAAAATTTTAACAACTTTCTTAAAATATCTTGGATTTGTACCAAACTTGGACAGAAGATTGTTTAAGTTAAAAGCTAGTATCTAGAAGGACATTTTGTTAAAATTTTGCTCCATTTTTTCCGTATTTTACTTATAAATTGACTTAGTTTTTCTTCCAGTTAACATTACATACAGTCTGCAGTTTAAGTTTTTAAAACATTTACTAGATTCATAAACTATCCTGGATTTTTACCAAACTTGGACAGAAGCTACTTACAATCAAATGATAGTATAGAGAGGAATATTTTTATTATTTTTTTTCCTCATTTTTGTTGAGCCCGCGATTAACAGCAAAAGTAGGCGAGACACTGAGTTCCGCGGAACCCTTACGAATTTTTATTCTATTTGTTAGAATTTATTGTCAAGTTCAATACATTTTCCTGATAAAAACTATATTAAAACTTTTGAACATTTTCATTGATTTGATAGCAGAATATAGTATTTGATAAAATTTTACAGGTAAAATAAAAGGTAAAAAATATGACTATAATTCAGAAATAAACTATAATTGTTAAAACAACAACCCACCCTATGTTTACATATGCATGTAATTAAAAGTGGGCAAACCAGGATGACACTCATTATTATCAGGTATCGAACTCCTCAGTAATGAGGAAAACGAAAATATTTTAAAAGTTGTACAAAGTTTTATTTTGGAAACGGGGAGATTTGTTTTATATCTTTTGATTTTTATGTCGATTTAGATTTTGGAACTTTGTAAATGAATCTATTTTGTGGAACATATACATAGATCTATACTGTGGGTTTCTTTCCACTATATTCCCAATGCTGTCATTTTGTCAATGGAGACGGATTTATATAAGTTCTTCTTGTTTCCGAATCCCTGTATTTCTATTGTATAATTGTAAATTGTGCACTTTTGAAACCGAATACAATATATTTTAAAACAGTAAAAAGAACAAATGCAACTAGATATCATTGAGATGGGAGCCATCTCTGTGGGCCCCGCTGTGAATAATGTGTGGTAAAAAAGAGGTAGGGCCAATTTCCCCTGAATTTTTTTCACAGAAGGGCCAATATCAAAAAGTGCTGAAAGAATAAAATTTATGATACAAACATGAAATAAAAATGTTTTTTGGTCAATATCTCGATTTTTATGTATTATGTTATGTCTGGAAAATAGTTAATTTAACCTCCAAAAAAGGATGAAAGTCAAATATGCGGAATTTACCGTGTTTTTAGGTTGGAAAAACAGGGAATCCCCCTAGAAGGACATTTCAAACCAAAACAAAGTTATTTTTTTTTGTTGCTGTTGTAATTTATACAACTTTTCCCCTCAAAAAAGAAATTGGTTTAGTGTGTCCTTAATACTTAAAAACAACTTTTTTAATAAAAAGTGGAACATCACTAAATTTTACCTATATAGCTGCTTAATATCGACTATGTTCTCAGTCGCCGTGGCTCCATCGGTAGCGCTTAAAACTGTAAATAATGGATTGTTTTTAAGATGGGGTTCAAATCTCACGCTAATTTTTCTCATTTTTTATGTTGAAATATTAAAATGTTATGTTTCTATCACATTTTTTCGGATGTTTGTTTAATTCAAAGAGTCACACTGAAGTAGGTGCATGCTTGTACATAACCAATAACACGAGAATTGATTATATAGCAATGAAGCCCAATTGTTGTGTGTGTTATACACATAACGAAAAAAGGCCATAGCAGAAAAAATTCAAAACAACAAAAATATTTTTTTCTAAATCTTGACAAGAACGTTTTAGAAAATAGTATGATATGTAACAAATGCAGACAGAAATTTTATCGCCAATCCACCAACTGTGTAGATACTAGAACTGGCATTGTTATATTGTACCACCGTCCCTACACCGGAACCTAAGTAATCAGAAAATGAAACAACACCAAAGAAAAAATCAATTACACTACCAATCGTGACTGTAGGTAAAACATCAAGAAAGTGTTGAATCTGTATCACAAAATAGGGTCGATCCATTTGGTACAATGCCATGCAGAAAAACCAGATAACATGTGTTTGTTACGCAAGCCGTTCTAGTACCAACTGGTGTAAGCTGTTGTCCGGTTCATATAGACGGTAAACCTTAAAAGCTGGAACAGTGTATAGATATAGATACATCCAGATTGAGGAAAACAACATCCCAGTTAAATGCGTCCGATATTTTTTGGCTTCTTGGCATTAAAACAGAGACCGATCTTGAATCAGATTAGCTGATTTATATCAGATAATTAGATTATTAAATGTTTCTTGTATTTATATTTAACCCCCTTTTTTAGGCGCCAATTAGGGGCATTCAGTTTTTCGGTCTGTGAGTCCGTTCGTTCGTTTGTCCTTCGTTCGTCCGTCTGTTCGTTCGTCTGTCTGTCCCGTTTCAGGTTAAAGTTTTTGGTCAAGGTAGTTTTTGATGAAGTGAAAGTTCAACCAACTTGAAACTTAGTACACATGATCCCTATGATATGATCTTTCTCATTTTAATGCTAAATTACAGCTTTTAATCCCAATTTCATGGTTCACTGAACATAGAAATGATAGTATGAGTGGGGCATCCGTGTACTATGGACACATTCTTGTTTAATATTTTGTTAGTTTTAAGTTAAACAAAGCTGTGAAATACATGTAATCTACAAATCACCCACCAACATTAACACGCTAACTGAAGCACCATGTTTTTTTTTAATACAAAACTAATTTTGAATATCTATTAGTGGATAATTCATATTTTAATGCTCCTCAGGAGCATTTACAAACAAAATCAATATTGGTTTTGATAAACAAAAAAAATCAATAGTCTTGGCCTTGATTATTGAAGGAATACCTGTTCAAGGTATAAAAATAGATGATGTGACGTGTTTTCATATACTATAATTAGTATCTATCGAGCTATTTAAAAACATGATTTACCCAGCTAATCAAATGAAAAAAACTCACGGGAAAATGGCCCTACCTCTTTGTATCTTTATCATTGGACATGGGGTTGTCAACTAAAACCGAAGTTTTGGACCTTGACCTTTGACCTAGGAAGTTGTACATAAATTATGACACACCCTCTGGTGTTGGTTTATATACATGTCAAGTATAAACTTTGAAATCATAACGGTTCTCAAGATATAGAGCGGACACGATCTTTACCATAGGACATGGGGTTGTCAACTAAAACCAAAGTTTTTGACCTTGACCTTTGACCTAGGAAGTTTTACATACATTATGACACACCCTCTGGTGTTGGTTAATATATATGTCAAGTATAAACTTTGAAATCATAACGGTTCTCTAGATATGAGTCAGATATAGATCGGACACCACTTGTTATGGACGGACGGACGGACAGACTGATCACTATAGGGCGTCCGCCATTCGGCGGGCCCTAATTAACTTTAAAGCAACCTCACACATGCATGCACCGGTTAGTTATCTTAAAAAAAGTTGATGGTTTTCCGTACGTGACCTAAAAAAGAAAAGTTAGTTGCTGTAAACGTTTAGTAAGGAAACGCAGAAAATACCAGAAAACTCCGTTATCATTCCCGGCGCACCGTGAAATATGAAATAAAGCTAAAACCATCCTATTTTCCATTAAATTATGATACTGCGAGCAAGGATTCAAATCATCGTCTGTAATCCGCTTGTATAATTTAAGCTACACTGAATTTACGCTACACTAAAAGTCACGGTAGCAGTCTTCTTCTTTCTTTACTGTGCCGGGCTCCTCTGGAGCATTATCGCACAAATAGCATTATCAAACAAATATGTCAGCCGAAAAACTAGCTACTTAGACTACTTTAACACATAATAATAGTCTTAGATACAAATTATAGTTCGGGTGACCTTTGCATTACTTTTTACTGATCCCGGCTGCTATTCTATCAGGACAGTTTATAGGCATTTCAATTGGGTAACACTTCCTTTGACGTCACAAAACCGGAATCGCCATATTTAGACTGCAAGTGACTAATTTTGATAAACATTGACCAAAAGCATTCGATTTTGAGCAAGAACAGGTATATATGTTAATTGAAATACGTTAGAAAGAATATTGATTGAAGAAATTATGCAGGGATAATCTCATTCTGTAGTAAAAGTGCGCTATTAGCGGTCTAAATTCGGGTCAAAGACTCGCATAACATGGGTCATGAAATAATTTGAAAACATTTTCGCTTTTTGTTTTTCAAAGGGAAAACTATTTTCGTTGAACATTTGCGACAGTATCAAAGCAAATCACCTTTTAAAACTAACATTTTAAATACATGCATGAGATTTATTCAACAGGACTGCTGGTAACATATATCGCATCACAATACCTCACTCAATTTTTGACAATTATAGGGAGTGTACATAATTTTCCATGGTTTAGTTTATCATGTTTATTGTACAGCACATGGACAAAGGTTATTCCCTTTCGCCCTTTTAAATGATGTTTTTTACAAGATATACAAGGTTTTAAGTCCATAATAAAAATATGAATATTAAGTTGCCCAAACCCCAGGTGCTTGGGGAATACACCTTATCGCTATTTAATCCATTCCGTGTAAGTTCTAAAATTACACAACTTTTTCATCCAGTTGAAGCTATCTGGGGCCCTGTTGAAACAATGTATCATGCATAATACTTTTTAAAGAGACCTGTTAAAACCATCGTAAATACTTCAAACAAAATATTTTTTTCACTTTAATTTGAGTTTCGAAAAAGTGAAACATAATCTATCAAAGTTTCAAAGTGTTGGCTTTCTAAATTTTTTCCTCCCTCAGCTCGTTACTGATGACCTTTGTTTTGGCACCGGAAGACCCAAACAGGAAGTTGTCTAAGTGACTGTTTTTTTCCGGATTGGGTCAAATAGCGATAAGGTGTATGGACCCCCCCTTTTCAGTGTTTTTTTTTTAAATATCCTGTTAAACATTTATTTTGTTATTTAATGTGTTCTTGCTCTTTTCCATACAATTTTACAATCACAGTAGTATATGACTCTCTATTACAATGTATTATTTTCCACAAGGCAGGAAAGATAAAAAAATAAAAATATTGTAATCTGCTCACCTCCTGCATATTTTTATGCACCATATTTCCTTTAAATCATACAAAAGGACATGTATCAACACAAAAATCTTACATTTTCGTTTCTGTTGATGGCTTGTGTTAATTTATTAACAATCTAGAAATTACAAAGTTTTGATCCTTGGGTAGCCAAGACAAGACTAAATTACTAGTAATACCAAGATCAAAGATCCTAGCTGAGGGCAGAATCAAAATTGGCAACCACTACAACACAATTTGGGGTGACTCATCAGCAAAAGCAGATGTAGCAGAAATGATGGCCACTGGTGAATGGTCGAGATGAGAAAGCAACTGAAGATCTACAAAGATGCTTCCCCAAAATATTCACCAGCCAAATCAAGTGAAGATTCATCACCAGATGTACCTTCCCCCTCCTTAAAGAAAAAGAGTGATAACAGTGCCAAAGTAATCCATTGGTGGGAGGGAATTCACCTCACTGCTGCTTTAGATTACCCATATCACTTTAGATCAGCAACACCATCAACAGTTTTGCCTATTGGATTTCAACCACCTACATGTACATCACCAACACTGACAACACCAGCAACTTCACAGTCACAACCTGTAACAACAGTTCCATGTCAAAATGACAAACAGCTACATGTACCTGGTAACAGCCTACTTGCAGCGATAACAAACCTGGAGTCCCAGGTTCAAGTTATGAGAGATCGCTAGCTCAAGATGTTGCCATGAGCAAACTTCAACAACAAAATGAAAGACTCATTCAACTTGTATAGAGCCTAGTAGAAAAACTGACATCAACTACAACAGCAACCCAAAGTGCACATTTGACTCCATACAGACCATGGGGCAACATGACAGCTACTCCCACAAGACAACATTCTATGAATGTGACCTACCGAATTAGACTATTTACTGGATTTGTAATAACATAAGCAACACGACGGGTGCCACATGTGGAGCAGGATCCGCTTACCCTTCCGGAGCACCTGAGATCACCCCCAGTTTTTGGTGGGGTTTGTGTTGCCTAGTCTTTAGTTTTCTATGTTGTGTCATCTGTACTATTATTTGTCTGTTTGTCTTTTTATTTTTGGCCATGGTGTTGTCAGTTTGTTTTCAATCTATGAGTATGACTGTCCCTCTGGTATCTTTCGTTCCTCTTCTACACAACTTATCCCAACATCACTTTTTTCTCCTTCATTACCTGCCAAAACACCTGCACCATTAACTGCGATACCACACCAACCATCACCTACTGTTTGCAGACCTTCAGCAACATCTACTAGATAAGTGCCATCCATTAGTATGTTCAATGTCATAGACTCTAAACTTTAGCATATACCATCCTAGTATTGTATATCATCTGATCATCAGGATTTGGTAATTTAGCTGAAAACAGTCTCCGGGACAAGTTTGCACTTCCGCTGAGTGCAAAAGTTGTCACCTTAATTTTAGGAGTTAAGTCAAAATGAAGTTGATAACTTGGTTGGTATTGGTTCCCTGATATTTGTCCTAAAAAATTTTGGCTCTAGCACCACTGTTGAAAAAGTTATGCCCCTTTATTCAACAATTTCCTCAGAGGAAAAGTAGTTTTCCTCAAAGGAAATCAAATTTCCCTAAAGGAAAAAGATTTTTCCTTAAGGGAAATTGTATTTTCCTCAAGGGAAAAAGATTTCCCTTAGGGAATTTGCTGCATTAATATTTCCTTTGAGGAAATTCTATTTCCTGTGAGGAAATTTGCGGCTTCAAATTTTCCTTTGAGGAAATTTTATTTCCTCTGAGGAAATTTGAGGCTTCAAATTTTCCTCTGAGGAAATTTGCAGCTTCAAATTTTACTTGGAGGAAATACTTTTTCCTGTGAGGAAATTTTGTCAACTGCAATTTCCTTTGAGGAAATATTTAACAAACACTTTTCCTTGAGGGAAAATTCAATACCACAAATTTCCTCTAAGGAAAACATTGTTCTCCAAATTTCCTCTAAGGAAATTTCTGTACATCAACTTTCCCTGTAGGAAATGCTTTCCCCTATTTTTACTCATTGTAAATTTCTTCACTATACAAACAGTATGAACATAATGTTTACAAGACTTAATAAATGATACAAATGATATTTAAACTTTAATAAATTTTTGACTCAAAATTATCATGACATACAAAAACAATATAGTGAGTCTGACTGTTTAGGTCAAGGTATTGTACATACTTTATATGACTTTAACTTTGATTTTTAAAATATTTTTTGTAGCAAAGTAATCTGTTTTCTTTGTTATTGTTTCAATTGTATACATTAATAAGCAACCAATTTGAATGTCATACCATTTGTGGAGTTCTTAAGAATGCGTTCATATTTGCAAATTAAATAATAAAATAAACACTTTTCTTGTAAATTTTAATTTTCCTCTGTTTCAGCTGCTGTGTACAGTTATTCAATTCACTACGTAAAAGTTCATAACATAAATTATTCCATTCACTAAACAATTTCCTTCAATTCTTAGAGAAAACATTTTTGCAATTTGTTCTTCGAATATCTTCTTCAGTATATTTGATATGACATGTATGAGGGAGCGATGTAAATGAGTGGATAAAGCTGGTGTTCCTTTCAACAACAAAATACTTTTTTTTTCTTCATTTCTCCCTTCTTTCGACGAATATATATAATATGTTGTTGCATTTATACAATTGTGTTTTTCTGCATCTATGATAGAACTCCATTTTGTTTATAGCCATTATCATGTGATTATGATGAAATTTCCTATTTCTTTTTTGCAGGAAAGCACACATTCCATTTCACATTAATCCAATTAGCGCACCATGTAGATAGATATCAACTTTCAGTTTCCTCTTCAGTATTGACCTATTGATCATGAAAACCAAGATGTCTGATCACCTATAAAAACACAAAATAAACAAATAAAATGTTATAAATGGAGAGAGAAACAGCAATAAAAAAGCTTATTTTGTCATGTTTATGAACATTTTAAGAATATTTCCTTTTTACTTGCATGACTTGTGAGTTTTCTTAATTCCGTGATTTTTGTCTATGGGTTTTTATATTACCCCGACAGTTGATTTTGTGCATTTTATCAATCTTTCGAGTTGAGGCAATTGCAACGGTTATTTTTACAGTTTCTTTATATGTTGAGCTGTTAAACCACTGTCCAAGGTTAAGGTAGGGTTGAGTGCTCACAAACCTGATTTTTTTATTACATGTATTAGTTTTTATTGATTTTTAACTAGCTGTCAGTAGCTGTGAGTACTAACAGATCTTCGTGTCTTTTCTTTTAAGAAAAAGGTATAAATTTCCTGCTTAGTCCGGACTGTTTATTTTTTTGCAGGAAATCTACCGGTATGTCATTTGTTGTCTGGTGAAGAGTTGTCTTAATGGCAATCATGCCACATCTTCTTATTTTTATATAACCTTGCCATATTCTGATTGTGCCTGTCCCAAGTTCGGAGCCTGTAGTTTATTCTGACACTCAAATTTAGTGGTTGTAGTTGTTTCATATCTGTCATATTTATTTTTTTTTAATTTGTTTTGTTATAAACTAGGCAATTAGTTCTACAGTTAGGATTATTTCAATTTTTCGTCTGAGGGCCTTTTATAGCTGACTACTTTGACAATAGGTATGGACTTTCTCATTATTGAAGGCCGTCACTGGCCTATAATTGCTTTCTTAGAGCCATGATCAATAGTTTTCATATTTAATATGCCACATCTTTTTATTTTTATAATAATCATGATAATCATCTTTCAAGGGCAATAACTTTTATAAAAGTGGCCTTATGAGTCTTATCGAGCATCACTGATGAGTGTTTTGTAGACGAAACGCGCGTCTGGCGTAAATACAAAATTTAATCCTGGTATCTATGATGAGTTTACTTACCATTTAGGTTTTGTTGACTTCTGCAAATTTTAAATTGCCTATCATTTCTGCTGTTTATAATTTCTCTGCATCTTCTATAGTTCTTGTCCTACACATAAAAAGAGTAAAAATTATTATTTAATGACATCTTGCATCAATAATTATTTTGCTGTTTAATGTATATATTAAAACGTGTTTAATAAAAAGCTGTACCATGAGTGCTTGATAAGCTTGTTGCCCTTTTAGCTTGGGTTTATGCTTTAAATGAATTTTAATGATCAACTACATTATAGAAAAACTCTGAGCACTGCGCAACTAAGACCCCCCCCCCCCCCCCCCCCCACCTACAAAAAACAAAACTACAGGCTCTAAAGAGCCTGTGTCGCTCACCTGACTCTATTTGGGTTTTTGAAATCATATAAAAAAGATAAAAATCATAACAGATACTTTAAAAATGATTGAGGCCATATTTGGTTTAATATTGTCCTACTCCGCTGGCGGCCGTCTTGGATGATGCATCAGCTACAGAGTAACAACACTTGGTCAACACCTCATAAGGAACATTCATGCTATGTTTGGTTTCATTCCATTCAGTGGTTCTCTAAAAGAAGACATTTGTATGTATTTCCTATAGGGTCCTATCTTAAACTAAGTCCCCCGCTGCCGGCCATCTTGGATGATAGATCGGCAACAAAGTAACAACTCTTGGTCAGCACCTCATAAGGAATTCAGTGGTTCTCTAGAAGTTCAAAATGTAAAAAGTTAACAACAGCAATGGACGACGACGGACGCCAGGTGATGAGAAAAGCTCACTTGGCCTTTATAGCCAGATGAGCTAAAAAAGGACATGCACACAGAGTGGTATTCATTGAAACAAAACATGAAAATAATTTGGCTCCATTTTAAGGGATTTTGCAAGTGTATATACATTTTGTAAGTTTAAGGCCGTGATTTTTGAACAAATACAATTCTAAAACCTTCCATAGTGTGAAAATGGACAATTTTAAACAATTTTCCAACAACTAAAATTCCATAACTCTGCATCTTATATAAAAATAAATAGGGGATGATACTCCAGCTTGCATATCATATAAAGTTATAAAGGAAGATAACTGAAGAACGGTAAAATTTATACTACTAAAATTATAACTTGATCTGATTTTGTGGTAAAAAGTATTGCGTTAAAGTTTAATAAAATTTGGTTGAGGCAAACTTAATTTAGAGGACGGAAACGTAAAATTCATCATTTTTTCCATCTGTAAAGGACATAACTCTAGAACAGACTGAGTCAGTAAAAGTGACACCACCAAAATTCAAACTGTTTTTTGTGGTAATAAGCATTGTGTGCAAGTTTCATAACATTTGGTTGAGGCAAACTAAAGTTAAAGATAGAGAGCCGGAAACCAAAAATTCAGCAATTTTTATACGACCGCAAAAAAATTTTTGTGGTCGTATATTGGTATGACGTTGGCGTCGTCGTCGTCGTCGTCGTCGTCGTCGTCGTCGTCCGGCGTCGTCGTCGTCGTCGTCGTCCGGCGTCGTCCGAAGACACATTGGTTTTCGCACTCTAACTTTAGTTTAAGTGAATGGATCTTTATGAAATTTTACCACAAGGTTCAATACCACAAAAGGAAGGTTGGGATTGATTTTGGGGGTTATGGTAATAACAGTAAAGGAATAAGGGGCCAAAAAGGGGCCAAAAATAAGCATTTTTGTAACTTCCAGACATAACTTGTGTGTTAGTGTATGGATCTCTCTGACATTGTACCACAAGGTTCCATATCACTAAAGGAATGCTGGGATTGATTTTGGGGGTAATTGCCTCCAAATTTTAGGAATTAGGGGCCAAAAAAGGGGCAAAAAACAAGCATTTTTCTAGTTTCATGACAATAACTTGTGTGTAAGTGTATGGATCTTTCTGAAATTGTACTACAAGGTTCCATATCACAAAGGGAAAGCTGGGTTTGAGTTTGGGGGTAATTGCCCTAAACGTTTAGGAATTTGGGGCCAAAAAGGGGCCAAAAAACACATTTTTTTCTAGTTTCCAGACAATAACTTGTGTTCAAGTGTATGGATCTCTCTGAAATTGTACTGCAAGGTACCATACCACAAAGGGAAGGCTGGGATTGAGTTTGGGGGTGATGAATCATAATGGGGGTTCAAAAAATTTTGGGGGGGGATTTATTTTTTTTTCCTTTTTTTTTCTTTTTTTCCTTTTTTGTTTCTTTTAAAATTTTCCATTTTAAGTTGGTTATTTCTGATTTATATTTAAAATCAAATAATAATGATATGGTAGGAGATACACACCAAACAGGATGTGTAAATTATTATATAATAAGTATTGTGCAATAGCAAGAAATTTTCAATTGCACAGTATTGCACAATAGCAAGAAATCTTCAATTGCACAGTATTGCGCAATAGCAAGAAATCTTCAATTGCACAGTATTGCCCAATAGCAAGAAATATCCAATAGCACAATATTGCGCAATAGCAAGAAATTGTCAATTGTACAGTATTGCGCAATAGCAAGAAATATTTAATAGCACAGGATTGTGCAAAAGAAGATACTTCCTATAAATTGCTTATTTCTTGACCAATTTCAATGGGGTTTTATTCTTGATTTCATGGGGTTCTTTAATATGCTGAATATAACCGTGTATTTAGTTTTTGGATTTTGGGCCCCGTTTTTAAATTGGTCCACATTGAGGTCCAAAGGGTCCAAAATTAAACTTTGTTTGATTTCATCAAAAATTGAATTATTGGGGTTCTTTGATATGCCGAATCTAACTGTGTATTTAGATTCTTAAATTTTGGTTCCGTTTTCAAATTGGTCTACATTAAGGTCCAAAGGGTCCAAAATTAAACTTAGTTTGATTTTAACAAAAATTGAATTCTTAGGGTTCTTTGATATGCTGAATCTAAACATGTATTTAGATTTTTGATTATGGGCCCAGTTTTCAAGTTGGTCCAAATCGGGGTCCAAAATTAAACTTTGTTTGATTTCAACAAAAATTGAATATATGGGGTTCTTTGATATGCTGAATCTAACCATGTATTTAGATTTTTGATTTTTGGGCCCCGTTATCAACTTTGTCCACATTGAGGTCAAAAGGGTCCAAAATTAAACTTTGTTTGATTTCATCAAAAATTGAATTATTGGGGTTCTTTGATATGCCGAATCTAACCGTGTATTTAGATTCTTAATTTTTGGTTCCGTTTTCAAATTGGTCTACATTAAGGTCCAAAGGGTCCAAAATTAAACTTAGTTTGATTTTAACAAAAATTGAATTCTTAGGGTTCTTTGATATGCTGAATCTAAACATGTATTTAGATTTTTGATTATGGGCCCAGTTTTCAAGTTGGTCCAAATCGGGGTCCAAAATTAAACTTTGTTTGATTTCAACAAAAATTGAATATATGGGGTTCTTTGATATGCTGAATCTAACCATGTATTTAGATTTTTGATTTTTGGGCCCCGTTATCAACTTTGTCCACATTGAGGTCAAAAGGGTCCGAAATTAAACTTTGTTTGATTTCATCAAAAATTGAATTCTTGGGGTTCTTTGATATGCTGAATCTAACCATGTATTTAGATTTTGGATATTGGACCATAATAGGTGAATGTCCAATTTAAAATTTTTAAGTTCTTAGACCACATTCAATCTGTGTTAGAAACCTATGCTGTGTCAAATATTTAATCACAATCCAAATGCAAAGCTGTATCAAGCTTGAATGTTGTGTCCATACTTGCCCCAACTGTTCAGGGTTCGACCTCTGCGGTCGTATCAAGCTGCGCCCTGCGGAGCATTTTATTCCATTTGTAAAGGGGCATAACTCTAGAACGGTAACACTGACACCACCAAAATTCACACTTGATCTGAGTATTGTGGTAATAAGCTTTTGTAAAAGTTTTATAACATTTGGTTGAGGCAAACTAAATTAGAGAACAAAAACCAATGACTTTGGGACAGACGGACAGACGGTCAAGGGTTGACCCACTATCACATGACTATGGGTCATAAAAATGTAAAGGGAGTTTATGTCAATATATTAAATCAATTCACCAAAGTTTCATAAAAATTGGTGAAAGCATTCTTGAGACTATCCAAAGTCTCAATATACAATAAAAACTTAAATCAGAATTTTTTTTTTAAATTGAAAGGGAAATTATCATGATTATATGTTAATTGGCAATATTAATAAATGCATGCAACAATTTCTGAAATTTACAGTATTTAGGCTTTTAACCCCACCATATTTTTGCACCTGTCCCAAGTCAGGAGCCTATATGTGGCATTTGTCAGTTTTGTATGATTTTTAATTTTAGTTTCTTTTATATATTTCAGAGTTTTGTATAACGTCCATTATCACTGAACTAGTATACATTTTTGTTAAGGAGCCAGCTGAAGCATGCCTCAGGCTGTGGGATTTTCTCGCTGCATTGAAGTCACATTGGTGACCGACTGTTATCTGCTCTTTGGGCAGGTTGTTGTCTCTCTGACACATTCCCCATTTCTATTTTCAATTCTATTTTAAATTCAATTATAAATGTTAGGCTTCTTGTTGATTTGTTTTACATTTGTCATTTCGAGGCCTTTTATTATATTTACAGCTTTCTATATGCATAGGTGCTTGAGGACAGGATCCTGTTTTGAGCCCCCCCCCCCCCCCCCCCCCCCCCCCCCCCATAGTCCCTCCCCCTTATTATCATAAATCTTAGATTTTTCAATATATATCACTTATTTGTACCATATACATACTAATATACCATATTTTTACTCTTAATATGCATGTTTACTATCAACGTGAATCTCGACTCCTGTCCTCAAGCACCTATGTCTATATGGTGTGAATTTTGCTCATTGTTGATGGTCGTACGGTTATCTATAGCTCAGCGAAGCAACATCACAACTGTTTCCAAGTTTGTGAAGTCAGAGGACTATATTCATCTTTCCGACTTTCAGATCATTTGTTGATTTTTCATGAATATGTGCCATTCCAATATGAAATAGCTAAATCATGTATATATTAAAAAAAAACTTTAAACTACAAACTAGGATACTCATTTGGGGAACTAATGATTTGTTGGTTTTTCCCTAGTCCAAATAATTATGACGTCTGGCAAGGCTATTTTTTTTTCTGGGACGCCTAAAATTATAGCCTTGCAAGACGTCATAATTATTTGGACTAGGTTTTCCCCACCATCGACATCGTCCTGTGGACGAAACGAGTTTGGCGCATTAACAAAAAGATCATGTCTGTAGTGACAAGTTAGTGTGTGTGCTTACCAATATTTGAATTTTATGAGCCTTCTTTTTGAATATTTTTTTCATTTTTTGGTACAATACTGACGTCGAGTGCTGTTGTTGTTGTGCTGTTTATTTTTTACAAAAGCGATCAAGTAATGCAGGGGAAGGAAACTTACTTAAAAGACCAAAATGAGTCGCAACTAATGGTACATAAATATTTTACTATGCAGTCAGTATCCTGATATACATGTATATACTCTTAGACTCATTTAACAGAAAAATCGTACAAGTAAAAATACTCGTTAGTCATGAACATTTTAGATCACTTAAGATTTAGATTTTATAACTTAATTTACGAAAGATGATAATTTGTCAAATAAGCCCTTGTAACCAGGTGCTGCATTTTTTAGCACGTGTCAAAAAACAGTTTAAAGTGCCGGGATCTGACAGAGCTTTCAAGAGCTATTTCTGTTACTGTGAGTTTATTATATATTTATCACAAAAAGCTAATGCTAATTTCTTTTCATTTAATATGGGTCTATATGAAGCCCCCACCCCTCCTCCAGCTTATCTGATTAATTTACGATCACTCTGAGTAAAGAAAGTAAGTCACAATTGCTTATATAAGGTATTTTAAATTCTGGTTGATAGTTGTCTCATCACCAATCATACTACATCTCCTTATTTTTTTTACAATAAAGCTATATTTAGATGCGGTATAGTGAGTGATGAATGTGTAAACATGCAGCATGCTTGTAAATAATTGTTAAAATACAGCACAAAAGATGCATAATATATCAAACTCGAGTCAACGCCATGTCAAAAACTAAAAAAACAACAACAAAAAAAACCGACCAAATGACAAATAGTCTATAAAAACAACTATAGCATACCAAAATATATAATTTGTAAAGACTTGCATGCAACTTGGCCTATACAGTAGCTCTATGTTCTTATAGATCTCATAACATTACGATTAAAAGTCAGATTATGTGTCTGTAAGTTTATTAGAAAATTCAACGAGACACGTCCTAATCAGGTAAAATCCAAAATAACAATTTACAAATTCATATCTACTGCCTGTTGTATATTGCTTACATGATTGTATATTGCCAAACGAATAAATATGTCTGGTACGGGATGGCGGCTTCGAAGCGGAGACAAAAAGACCCAGATAAATGAAAGTGTAGAATTTTTGTTGTGGAGAATTTTTTTTTAAAGAACTAGATTCATATCTCAGAATTTGAATATAGCATCTCGTTTTCTTTAGATAAATTGTTAGCTATTACTGACTATAATAATTACCCCCCTTATAAGTATTCGCAAAACATGAAGTTAATGATCAATGAATATGAAAACATTTTATAAACTTTTAAGTATAAATATTGGTAAACGGACAGCAAGTCATAGGACTATTAGTTTACAATAACTGTTGAAAGGTTATGAGAGAAAAATCTGGATGAATTTATTTTTATTAGAATGATTTATTTTACAGTAAAGGCTTCATATTTTTAATCAGTTATTTGTAAAAGAAAGGTGACATGTTTAACACCATGTAGCCAGTAAATTAACAAACTACTATGATGGATTTTTTTCTTTACAATCATTGATCATTATTAATATTTGAGAATAACTTTTGTTTACAATTCGTTTTCATAAATAATGGTTCAAGAAAAAAACTTTTTGAAAATTAGTCTGTTAGTTTCCAAAGAAAAAAATATCTTAAAAACTGAACTGTGAGTTTTCAATCGTTACGTTTTGTTATACTTTTTTAGTGTTAATCTCAGCAAAGACAAATTTGGTGATAAAAATCGATTTGTTGGTCTTTAAAAAAAAAACATACGTCATAATGTAATCTTCATCTGGAGATATTCATTCCCTACTGTAAAATATTGAGTTTTTGGTTGATTAATGTCGGGTGTGTCTGACGTACCGAATAATATATGATAGGTACATGTAGGTCTTGTAATTGAGACCGCCCGTGATACGGTCGGAAAATTTCGACTGCCAACGAAAAAGGATGGACAGAAAATTGGCCTTATACCAAGCTACTTATAGTCCACTTGAAGAGTTGTTGCAAGGATTCAGCGTCCCCATTCGGACGTGTCTGAGCACAACCCAATGGACGTTCCACTATCATTACTGCTAAGGATTTATTGCCGGTCAGAAGAAGACCTGTAACGACGCTATTTCTATAGTTACTCTAGTTCGCTAACGAATTCGCTTCTTGTTCCTTTGAATATAAAGGAAAGAGTTATCTAATATATATGTATATATATATATATATATATACACGTCTAAATTGAAAACAACGTTCAAACCTATGATTGCGTTGGATAAAAACCGCAATTTTTATACGTGTGCATGTAAAACAAATTTCTTGGTAGAGGGGTCTAAATACAGCACAAACAACATTTTCCAAAAGACCAAAAAGTGAAAAAGTATATTTTAACAAAACGCATTTGACTAACAGGTCGAACAACTGATGTTCTTAAACCCTGCTGACTGCCATTGGCTATTGCCAAATAAATTGATCACCAGATGTAAAAAATGGATCTTGCATATTAATTAAATACCAAACAGAAAACAATAAACTTACGGAAAAGATGGTATACCGCAAACATGAGGTGCACAAGTTTGTACACCATATCCGGATTTCGACATTTAATGTCTCTTCAGTGATGTTAGGGATCAAAACGGTATTTGGAAGGCCATATAATATATATAGGAACAAAATAAGAATGAAAATGCACCAAATATTTATATTCAATATGAATATTCACATATTGTCTATTACAACAACAAGTTGTTCAAAAATTGTTGTAATAGACAAAATGTGATTTTATATTTCATTTAAAAGATTAAATCGTTGTTTTGCAACAGACGGCGGCACATCGGGCATTGACTTACCATTTTATAATTTGTAACAATTATGATTAACCATATATTTATGAGTTATAACAAAATTATTTTTTATACATCTTTATTTAAGATGATCGAGATTTGAGAATGATATGAAAATAATAAAATATATATTACAAAAAAAAAAGTTATCTCAGGTCTAGTTATCTAGTATAAAATATATTCACTGGAAATAAACCCTTTAAAACACAAATCCCCGTTTACTCATTGCGAAGTTTATTTGCTAGTGTTTTTTTAATCTTTTTTTTTAATGATTTTATTATATTATCTTTTTTGTGAAAATTTTGAGTGGTTGAACATGAAATGGACACCGATGCTACAAAGAAAATTTGTTTAATGTCATCTGTTGCAATATATACTAAGTATTACACGTGGACAGGATGTTCCCCAGAAAATTAAGGTATTCAAGATAAGTTATACACACCCCAAGGGTACACGCCACTGTCATATGGAAAATTACTGGGTCACCAGTAAACTGGTAATCAGCCATGCAACTAATCAGTTGACTGACCATGCCACTACAATTTAAAAAGTTTGTCGTTAGATCAAAATGAAATATTTATTTTAATTTAAAATTGAAGAACTAAAAGGATTTATCATAATTATGAAAGCAAATGATTCAACAAAATCGGATTATTTCCCAAAAGATTATATATTTTTAAAAAATTTTCCGGGGAAAATAGAAAACTGTATCAGAGACATATATATATAAAGGGTCCCATCAAGGATTTTATAGAAATCCTTGGTCTCATGAAATGGATCTCACACAGACATGCATAATTGAAATTTATACATTGATTGATTCTGATTTCTTGAGAAATCAGGAGCGAAATATAACAAATATTTAGTTTTGATATTAAATTAAATTTACTTTTCCTCGCTATAATTCATTTGACATAACATTGAGGGATTTAAGGGTTTGTCCGTACAACGTTAGTATTTCACATGACTTATTTTCGCGCTTCGCCTTGAAGCTCATTATTCAGACTGTTTCAGACAAGATGATGAAAATAACATGCAAGGCACTTTTTTTTTCGATCATCGTGAAGTGCACTCTCCCCCTCTTCAAGAATTGTATATTTATAAATCCTCGTCCTTTTTAAAATTACCACACTCTTTGTGATTACCGTTATGCTATTATGCTAACAGTAATTAACCCGGGACTTGATTTACATGTAATATCAGGGGCGATTCTAGCCAGGATAAAGGGGGTCTTAATACATAGGCAGACCCAGGGGGGGGGGGGGCCTGGGCCCCCCCCCCCCCCCCTTTGGTGGGAAAAAATTGGTTGATTATACAGTGAATCGCTGAAGCATGACTGGAGCGGGCCCCCCTTAGATCAGTCAGCGCTCCTCACCCCCCCCCCCCCCCTTTACAAAAAGTTCTGGATCCGCCACTGAAATATATGTCTGCATTAAATCAGAGACATATATGTCTCTGATTAAATGCAATGATCGTTCACAAAAAGGGGAATCAAACCCCCGGATCCCATCCCCCTTCGATCCGCCACTGATTGTGAATATAAATATAATTGTTACTTAAAAGTCATAGACTAGTACTAGCTCCGAGCACCTGTTTTGGGATATATACAGCTAATTAACCGTAAATAACTGCGAGATAATGAATAACAAGTTGATAATTGTTTATTCTCTGCTAATTAATGTACCTGCAATTCACCCTGATTCATTTGTAAGACCACCGACACTAATAATATTACCTCAAAGTTAGAGGTTCTCCGTTACTGGGAACTTCATATCGGATCCGATCAATTTATTGGTTCCATTCCCCCTAGTAATAATGATCCATTTGCAGTGACGATGACAATCAAAGGTATACTCATTACTATTGATTTTGCATGATAACATACATGTTATGTCAACTCACTTCTCCTTCCTACGGCGTCAGAGAGAGAAAAAAAAGCCTTGCAATGCGTCATAATTATTTGGACTACTTCCATATGACTTTTAAAAAAACCAAACAATAGTTTATTTCACTGATTGAGATTGGACTGACGAGACATTTCAGCATGTGAAATCTTAATTGTTAGTCCAAGTACACAGTTATCATCCATTGATTTTCACTTTTTTACAAAAAGATTTCCTAGTGTGGACCATGTATTACTTTAAAATTTATTTATTTATATTTTTTATGCATAAAAAGTAAGTACAATGAAGTAGGGGGATGAAATTATTTTATTTTAGTTTGAGAATCACTCATGCTTCTTGTATGATGTCACCTTAGCCTACAAATTACCAAAAAGAAACACTTTTTTATTTCCTCTAGCTTATGTGTATGCCTTTTCATATACATGTAAAAATGTGTTACTGCCTATATATT